AATAATAATAAATCAAAATCTATGTATTTTTTTACTTTACATGTTTAATTTACAAAAGCCTTTTGTAAATTAAAAATATAAACAAAATTCTATTTAATAGAGTGACTCAGTGGCATCCGGCTATTTAAAAAATTAAATAAATTTAAAAAAAAAAAAAATTAAAAAAATAAATCGAAATCGATTTATTTTATCGAAATCGATTTATTTTATCGAAATCGATTTATTTTTTAATTTACAAATGCCTTTTGTAAATCAAAAAAATAAATCAAAATCTATTCAATGTTTAATTTACAAAAGCCTTTTGTACATTTAAATTAAGAAAAATAAGAAAAATAAATCAAAATCTATTTATTTTTTAATTTACAAAAGCCTTTTGTAAATTAGAAAAATTAAATAAATTAAAAAAATAAATACACGTCGATTTAATTTATTTAATTTATTTGATTTTTTAAACAGCCAAATCCACAAACAAAAAGAAATCTTTTAACTTTTAAATATATTTAAGTTACAATTTGAAAAATTGAATAAATTAAATAAATCTTTTAAAAAACATAAATAAAACATCAAAATCTATCAATGTTTAATTTACAAATGTTTTTTGCAATAAATATTTGAATTGAAAATTAAATCATTTGTGTTTGTTTCTTTTTACGAAATGATACCTAAAGGACCCTCGATCATATATATATATATATATACGTAGGAAACAAGACTTTTTTTTGGAGCTTGGTCCAGCACACGGCTTGGTCCAGGCCGAGGCATTTGAAGGATGAATTGAGCCGGGCCATGCATGGCCCGTCGTAGCCGGACGACCCGGGGGGTCGTTGAGGAGCGGTTTCAGATCCTTCTTTGCCCGCTTGACCTGCAAGACCTTTCTTTGGAGCGGTTCCCCCAAAAAGGGACATGTGGAGAGAGAGGAAAGCATTGTAGTCCTTCGTCCACGGGATCTTCAGCCTTGCCTGGGTCTTTCTGTTCTTCAAAAACTCGTACGTCACGACTCCCCGCTCCTCACCTGGTTGGGATGAAGACCGTCCCACCTGATCGGCGAGGAACGACCCAATGGTAGTGTCCAGCAAGTCGCCGGCGGTTCCGGGCTGTTGTCGGGCTTGGGCGGTGCCTGTCGCAGGTGGGATTTGGGTAGAGACCAGCTTGTCATTTGGGTAGAGGGTGTGGGGTGTGCCGAGGAGGCGAGCCTTTTGTTTCAACGACCAAGCATCGCAATCCAAACATGGCAGATGGTTCACACATGGGAAGCCGTTCGGAAAGCCGTTAGAAAGGGTTGGAAGACGTTGAACCGGGATTGATTTGGTCAACAGGAGTGCCCGTTGGGCCGTTGGGTGGACATCATGTTTGATCGATCCGAAAAACTGTGTGGACAGTCACACAAACCTATGAAACGAGCGTGACAACGAGCGTGTTCCAGGAGCTTTCCCACATGTGGCAAGTGGCCTTTGAAGCTGTGTGCATGTATTCCTGGATCCCTGTCCCTCCCTGTCCTTTGGAACCCTCCTTTCGAATGAACCGTCGCGTCTAAACGTGGCCATCCCCAACATGCATGGTCTATAATTAATGCCTCGTATATATGACCCAGAATTGAGGGGGGTGTTTGGATTCTGAGGTACTGATTACTCTCGCCAGCAAGTCCAGATGGTAAACCCCATGTTCAATCCATACCACTGGCTGTGGGGAAGAGGGGAGAAACATATTATTATGGATCGGGTACTGAGGATACTCTTGAGTTTAAGAGCTTATTTATGATTGCAATTCAATACGGCAGGTGTTCTTCCTCAAGCGGCTTATCACAACATGTGTTCTTCCTCAAACAAGCAGGGGGATGATTCACGGATTTTGCTCATGGTAGGAGAAAAGGGTTTGGGTTTTGCGCCGTAAGTGGCCTGGGAAGTGCTTGATGTGGCAAGACAAATAGGTTGGTGGGTGAGGTGATGGTTTTGCACTCCGCTGGGGGTCCCACCATGGTCTTGGCTTTGCCGGACGATGTTTTGCCCTGTCGAGGGCCCCCCTAGGTCCTCCAGTGAGGCCCTTTGGAGGTCATCCACCTTGGCACATTTTGGTGATGTCTTGGCTCAGAATTGGGGTCCAGGAAGAACCACCGACCCCGAGAGGTGCAAGAATACCATGAGAACGAGTTTCCTACGGGTTCCTCCACGTGGTTCAGTGGTTCAGTGGACCATATCAAGGCAACAAAGTTTCTCTTTAACCCCCAGAAAAATAATCAACATTGTAACCAGTCCCGTAGCTCTTTGGTGGTGAGCCTTGTAGCTTTGTGACCCAAATGGCGTTGCCGTTTCCGCCGTCCCAAGGCTTTGAGATGTTCCCCGTAAACGGTGTTGTTTTGGGGGGTCCACGACGCTCAGCTGACCGCTGACGCTCAACGTGTCACCGCCAGAGTGCGGGAACCTCAAACTAAGGATCCCTTTTCAGTGTCCAAACATGGCAGTGGGGTCAAAAACAAACTGAAAAAGTTTTCCAACTTGGAAACAAGAACGAGATGCGACAAAACTTCCATTCAAAGGGGGATGTGAACATCCTCTCAACAGAAGCAATGGAAGCAGTGACCGAAACGGGTAGTTCAACCCGCAGGACCTTCCTAAAGAGGACCCGAGCTTCATGAGCTGTTTCGATGGGGCCGAAACGCTTGCTGCTTGGAGCCCTGCTTCTGACGCTGTGCGGAACCCTGCTGCACATTTGGAACGTCACCACGCAAGTGGAGGTGCCTTTTGCCTCCTGGAGGATGACGGCAGAGGTCCAGAAACAGCAGCACTGGCCGATTCTAGGACGAGATTCCTTGCTGGCCAGCATCCCCTACTGGAATGTGGATGATTTTCGAGAACGTGAAGGGAGGGAAAGAGCACTCTTGCATGTGCTCATGACATTGATGTCTTACCCAATGGAGGTGGATATAATTTTGGTGTCAAACACCGGTGTCAAGGCGGCTGAAGGCTTGGTTTGGAGGGAAGCACTTCGTCCACAGCCATTTTGCAACAAGACTTTTCAACATGGGTATTGTTTGCACTGGGAGGCTTTGCACGCACTGCGTGAAGCGGCCTTGACTGGTGACGTAGAGATGATTGGCCCAGGTGTTGCTGATACAGCTCGGACTGATAAGATTGGGGCGTCCCAGTCCAAGCAGTTGGCCTATGATTACTATGCTTATATGGAAGGAGATTTGCTGCTGCCTGCGGCCAGTTTTTATTTTTTTGCGCATCATGCTGATACACTCTTCCACCGCGGCTATAAGCTAAAGGCTCACCGACGAGAGCCTGGAGGTCCCAGTGGTGCTCGGATGGTGGATATGCGGCCACATTTCAATTGTGAATACTCGACGCTCTTCGATGGGAGTGCGAGCACCTCCTATCTGGACAGTGTTTTCTCTTTGTTTGCTTCGGACGCAGAGATGCCTTGTGGGTTGGTTGGGGCTCATTGTTTTTGTCGTTGACTTTGCAGCGCTTATATTGTTCTATATTCTATAAATTCTATTATTTTTATAAATTGTTTGTATTTGTTTGTTTTTTGGGCACATACTAAGATATACTAAGCGCCCTAAGCGCCCCTTTATTGTACAAAGACCGGTTTTGGCGGTTTGGACTCAAGAACCGAGTCTAAGTCAAATGTTTTGTCTTATAGATGATCCCAATGTTCGACGTGTTTGTTGGAAGCATGATCAAACCATGAGTTTCCTTCGATTGTGATTGACAGCATTCTGGGTCGACCCCCGTTGACTGTTTGAAGAATCATCCACCCTTTCTCATAGTTTGTGACAAAAACGGAGACCAAGGCGTTCAGATTCGGGATCCTAGTTAAGACCCAGCCTTCTGTTTGTGACAGGATCAGAGGGATCGCGTTTACATCACTTCAGTGGGTGACTATTGCCTCTTCGCCAGCTCTCTACTGCTCTCACGCCGGATGTTCCAGCGCTTCCTCACGCTCCGCGAATGGGATTGGGACCATCGACCCAACCAGGCGCCGTCGTGGGTGTACTTACAACAAAAAATGAACAAAACACAGTGTCCACTAATTATTGTATCTACACTCCACACCACATTTGAACCAATGGTGAATCTCCTGAACTTCTCAAGTACGTTTCTCCAGTTGGTTTGCTGATGTTTTGCGATCTCTCATGTGTTTCTTCCACCTGTGGCCGGTCCACCTGTGCCGCCGCACAAATCCATCGACCGGTGCCCAGGAACCTTGGGCAATTACCGAGGCCATTGATCCGTCGCTGCAGAGGAGCTGGGTCCCTGTGACGCACGAGCGAATGCAGGCGCTGCATTTGATGCCCTTGCACAACGACGGGCTACAACACCTTTCTTTCACACACGCGGAAGTCGATCAGTTGATACTTGGAACATTTTGGAAACAGGTCTTCGTATCGCAGTGTTTTTCCCCAAGGTCAAATTGTATGTGGTACATCGGGATGGGGTTAAGAAACCGTTTTGGGGTATGTCTTTGAAACCAGATGCTTGGATTGTCTGGTACATATCTTGAGACTGTTGTGCCAGAACATGTGTTTGTTTGTTTTTTTAAAGACAACAGTAACAAATTACCTTTCGGTCATGGCCAACTTGTTCGCTTATTATATACCCTCAATGGGGTGTTGTTTGGATCCACCCCTTAGGGGTACCAATTGGTGGTAAGGGGATGTATACGGGGTGTCTACCACCACCACCCCCAAGGATCCAAACAACACCCCTTGGGGTTTGCTGGTATATCATTATGCTTGATTCATTGTTGGTTTGTTCGGTTACAAATGCTTATGTTGTTTTTGCACACGATAATTAGCTTTAGGAGATGGTCGGCATGTTGTTCAACCGATCTTCGGAGAGGCAGTTGAAGTCCGGTCGGTCGACAAGGGCACAAGGGAAGTCCCAAGCTTTGAGCCACTTCATGATATAAATCACCCAAACAATCCCAAACGCTCCACGTGTGGCATATAATATATATATATATATATAGCCAGGGGTGGTTTCAGTATACCCTACCTCAGACAATCATGGAAGCTGAGCAGATTATTGTCTTCCAGGGGCCTATGTGCCTCTTCCATGATTGTTCAGGGCTCAATGTATGTAACATCCTCTTGGAGTGTTCGGTTATGATTCACCCATCAAACATCCACGCGAGGATTATGACCTGCGTTTGGAATCGCACGCTTTGTCCTTCAATGAAGCCTTGAAGCTCTAGTTCGGACATGTCCAGTTGGTTGCGAAGACTGAAAAAAGAACATGGCACTATGTCGCAAGACCTCAACTCAACCTTTGTGCTTCGTTTTTCTACTTTGCTGTTTGTCACTGCCTTGATTCAGAAACGACCTCCCCCTACTCAGTCAAAGCGCACTGGATGCAATGTCAGATGCAAAGAAGGGGTCGAAAAAAAGCGACTGCCCAGCGCGCCTTCCGTGCAAATCGCCTATAGAGCTTCAGCCTGACGAGCATGACAACGCACACGAACAGGCACAGGGACTTGGTCGCAACACAGCTCAAGCTTGCAAGCTCAGAATCAACGACCTTTAAAGAGGTATTCCGGAATGAAAGCCTCTAAAGAGAAACCTAAACCAGAAACGAAGACAGTAAAGTTCATTGCTGCGAATGTCCCTTTGTTTTCTTAAGCAGTTGTTTTCCATCATCGCCAGACATGTTCCAACCACAAGAAAGCTCCGCGTCTGCGAAAGCGGCGTGAGCGCATATGCCATGCGCGGTTCTGTGGGGGGAATGCTGCCATGGGCCATGCGGGCTTTGGCACTCTGCAGTGCTGCAGGGTGTTTGGGCTATATGGTCTCCAATAGACCAACACCTGCGGTTCCAAGAGAAGAGAGAAGAGATCCCTGTTTGCGGCTGGATGAACGTGACAAGGATGAATTAGAAATTCAGCAAGAAACACCATCTTGGGTGTTTCTTTCGTTCATCGCTTTCGATGTTCTGTTTTTATGGGTTTCAGTCAACGCTGTCTTTCTGTCCACACTATATATAACATGTCCCGCTCTCAGGGCTGCTTCACAAGTAGGACAACTCACACTAACATACCACACAACATATGCTTGAAATAGCTTGAGATGTTAAACTTGGTGGGTTGTAGTCCTTCACATCCAATAGGCACTGTTTAGGCATGTAAAAAGGCTCCTGCGGCACCACTCTCGGTCTTGGCCGCGCCAGTGGCCACGTGGCCGACGTCTCCAAGGAGCTTTGCCGGCTCCCGTAGGTGTGGACTACGTCTCCAGCTCGTTGGAAAACTCATGGCTGACTGAGTCGCATCATCAACAGATCTGCGCTTTCGCCCAAACACAAAGCAAAGCCACGTGCCGTGATCTGCAAATCAGAACAGCGCTGGGCAGTTCGTTTTACATTATATGTTGGCCTGTGAACGTTTTCTGGAGTTCTTTTGGTATAGAGCTGGAGTGCGGATTGAAGCAACAAATCATGTCCGATCTTGTTGGAAATAAGAAGCGCACCCGATTCGCTACAAGCGACCACGGCGTGCCGTCGGGCGACTCGGGTCCCGTTTGGGTAGACGTCGGTCACCGAGCTCCAAAACCATGTGGTGGCGCGATCCGCGTGAAGAACTGAGGAATCTGTGGTTGAACTATTCCCATGCGATCTTCAAACCCAATGGCCGGGCACCACGGGCTCCCAGTACGGAGGAAGCCCAGGTCTTGTCCTACTTCTTGGACGCGCCTTGTCTCCGGTGTGTGATCCATTGGAAGTTGAGATGCTGTTGGTGCTTGAAAAGCTAAGTGAAAGGTAGGGTTGGGAAGGCATGGAACATGAAGGTAGGCTGATAGGTAATTAGGTAGGGTAGGGTAGGGTTGGGAAGGCATGGCTGACGGATATGAACATCAGAATTGGCCCTTACACACTTCGCACAGGTACTTGTTCCCATCCCAAGTCCGCGTGTCGTTCAAGTACTGGGATTCAGAGACCACCGCAACTTGAGCCGCCACGGTGCCTGCACAGCCAGTGGATGAGAATGTTCCTCTACAAACAGGTGGTGTCCACTTCTATGATGATTTCAGGGAGCGTACTCATGTTGACTCCAAATAACCCAGACACTCCATGTATATGCCTACATTGACCCCCAAAACCACCCCAATGTAGGCATATATGGCATACATACATGGAGTGTTTGGGTAATAGTTGTGTGAGTTGTGTGCCTTTGCAATACTTGGCTACAAAGTTTGGTCACCCTTAGTATTCGGAACCATCGACGGAGGTCAGACACAGTTCCGCGGCGAAGTGAGTGCACAAACTTGTCCTCATTGGCATCTTCATGTTTTGTTTTTGTTGGACAATGATACATACGTCCTTTACTTTTGTTCAGGATCTCTCCCTCCCTTTCTCTACAGTAGTAAACCCGGGGAGATTACCATGGAACCTGAAAATTGACCTTTGGAAGACTATTTGACAATTTCCTTTACAACCCAGTGGTTGTCAGGTTCCATGTTAATTTTCCAGGGTGTAATATAATGTAATGTAATATATAAGCCGATATACCTGGAGCCCCGAACACTTTTTTAAAGGTGCGCCCCAAAAATCCTCCGCTGCAACATTTACATGTGCTCAGGTCTTGGAGGAACGCTTGTCAAAAAAGACAAGACATGTGAGAAGAAACACGGATGTATTTAACAAAGAAGCTTGCTTGGCCTGTAAGATGTTTGATTGTGTTTTCCAATGCTCCTTATCAAGCTGCGAAAAAACATAATTAAAAAAAAAACACAGCCATCAGAGGCAGAGAGTGCAAGTAATCAAAAACGGATGGCTGGACAGCCAGAACAACCCTAATCACCAAAGCTGCCTTCGCCTTGGCGGGAAATGTGGATGGCCGTGGGTTCTTCTTATACACTCACAGAAGTGTTTTGTTTGGCCTCCAAGCCTGCCTACAACACCAAGGGACCAAGAACTTAAGAGGTTGAAGAGCGGATTTGAAGGATTACAAAATGACATCTACTCATCCACCGCCAAAAAACACGCGCCAATTCCTGAAAAAGCAACGCCTTCGCCTAAACCAAAAGCCAAACTGACGCCATCACTCAACAAACAGACTCCACGGCAAAACCACACCAAAGAAAAGGACACCAAAAAGACGCCAAACCGACGTCAAACAAGGCCAACTTGGTGCCTTTGGGTGTGTAATAACGTGGGGCCTCAGGTCTTGTCAGATATTGAGAGTGTGGGACGTAAGTTGTCATCACTTTTTGGTGGGGTGCGTTGATGTATCCTCTTGTTTGGTAGCGTTTGGTGGTTTTTCTGTTTCAATTTCAAAGAAGCTTGCTCAAGGAAATGTAGGCTGTACTCGTACTCTCTAGGCCATGACAGAACTTCAAAGCGGTTATGATATGGGGAGTTGCTCATCCCTTGATGAAGCTTTGCTATCAAGAGGAACAATTTTGAGATGCCCGCACATGCTCAGGAGCTTGAAGCCCCTGTTGAAGGTCCCCTGTTGGGAAAGAGCACTTTGCGCTTCCAGTTAAGACTAGCTAATCTATGCTAATAGATGCAATGGTTTAAGGCTGCTTCTACCTTGGAAGTAGCCGGGAGGTCTTTTCCTCTCGTCGAATGGTTTTTGGATGTTTTTGGTAAGATATACCCATATAGGCCCTGAACAGGTTTTTGAGTAAACCCCCAAAACTTACTCCTTACTCCACTCGAAAAAATGAGCGTCTCTATATTTTTTTAGTAGTACATGTATATATTGTTAATATTTTATCAAAGCATATTCCTGTATTACGAAAGCCAGCCTTCGTAGAAGGCGCTAGCGGAGTTGTGTCTGGCGAACGAAGTGAGTAGTTAGGGGGTCTGGGGGGGTGGCCCGAGAAAGGGACACGTCAACTCAGCACATGCTGGGGGAGGAGGGTGCTCCGAGGGAAGGTTTTTTGAGGTTGTGTTGGAGGTGATTTTTGAGGGGTGGTGATGCAAGAAATGCCAAATGCATCATTTGCATCATCTGAATGGAAAGGTGTAGTTGGCACCTTGCAAGGTAGAGAGACCTAGGGTAGCTATAGTGCAGCTACCAGGTATAGTACTTCAAGTTCCCTTTCCGTCAACCGCTTGAGAACCTCTACACACGCACAGCAAGCCACAGCCTTGAAGTCTCATTCGTGCTTTGAACTTGTATAGGTGTGTAAGAGGTATAGCAACATACTACCTGAGAAGCTGCAAAACGAAAGCCAGCGCTTCCCTTTCTCGAGAACTGCGCGTCGAAGCATAGGATAGAAAGGTAGGTCTGCACCCTAGATCCACCATCCCACTCCATTTTCTTTCATTTCTCTACGGCAGCTCCGCTTGGCATTTGCCAGGTGGAGGCGGCCGTGAGACCTCTTACACACCTACACAAGTTCAAAGCACGAATGAGACTTCAAAGCTGTGGATTGCTGTGCGTGTGTAGAGGCTATCGAGCGGTTGA